TTTTTTTGTCAAAAAACTTTCATTTTCTTTAGAATGCTCGTTTGATAATAACCAAGTATGAAGAAGTATGTAGTATAATTTATTTTGAAGTCGAAGCATAAAGCCATAAACCATAAACTATAACTTGGCTCATTTTATCTAAATTAGTAGTAATGTTCGATCATGATCAGGCCAATAACAATAGACCAAAATATCTATCAAACATATTTGTAGCACTATATAATACGGAGTATTTAAAAAGACCTATGTATATATATAGGTCACTGGTTTAAAATCTCCCCTCTAGTACTTGTAATTTGTTATGTCTTTTAAACTCATTCGCACCAAAAATATAAAACGGAGTATGTGTGAATAGATTTTAAAAAATCTTCCAAAACATTATTACCTTTAAATTTACTAAAATAGGAGTAAAATTGTAAGAATCGACCAAGAAGTATGGTCAAAAATAGATTTGAAAAAAAAAAAAAAAAAAAAAAAAAAAAAAAAAAAAGTGGGGGAGAGAGGAAGGGAGGCAGTGGGAAGTGGGAATTTGCATGGGAGAAATCAGCGGAGCACCCGTGCCTTCTTGGGAACAATATTAGCGAATATTGTCAATCCCCCCTTTTCTTTAACACTATTATCCATGCTAAATTACTTTTTTAATTAATTAATTACATGCATAATTACACTCAGAAGAAAAAGAATAACTCTATAAACACAAACATAATCTCCATAACTCAAGTGCTACTGCTTCCCCAATGAAAAGTTACACTTTTTTATATAATAAGGTGCCTTTTTTGCATGGTCCATGCAATGCCTCATTGGCAACCTAAGCCATATCTCTATCTCTTCTATTTGCATTCTTCATTATTATGTTAATATGCTATTAATATTAAACATCCATACATCCAATACAATATGTGATTTTCTCATGAATCTTAAAATTAATATTCGTACCATTTTTTTTTAAAAAAAAATACTATGTATATATATACTTAATGTACATACATTACTTTTATGGATATTAGTCGATTTTATGTAACAAATTTTTCAGACCTATTTTATATGATTTCTTATTTTGTCATTTGGAAGGTCGAGCCGATAGAACCAAATCCACCCTTGCCTCCAGCCATATATATGATTAAGAAATTAACTCGTATGTGAGTTTGGGCTAGTTATCACTCATTTAAAAGAAAATAGAGAATGAAAAATTAACAATAGATAATATTGGTGGGCTACCCCTGATTGTCAATTGATCGATTTTAGGATAGAATACTATTAAGTCTTACATATGTGATCATACTTTCCTGTGGTGTATGTGGGCCTGCCCAATAAAGTTTAACACATACGTAACAAATTAAAGTAGCTCCAAATACAATCATATAATATCCGTTGATGGTACTTAAATTTACACCATTCATTCCTATATACTCCCTCCGTTAACAATTAGTTGCAACACACCTTTTATCACGCTTTTTAATGAGTTGATTAAATTAGGTAAACGAATTAATTAAGCTATGAAATTTTAACCGTAGCAACTTATCCCTTTCTTCTTATCGGTGGTAAAATTTTGTGATTTAATTTATCCGTTTACCTAGTATAATATCTCCCTTAAAATGCGTGCCAAAGAGGTGTGTTGTAACTAATTGTTAACGGAGGAAGTATTTTTTGTTTTAAAAGCGGGATTACGTTGTATATGGTTCCGATTTCTGAACACATACTCATGTACTCTATATTACATGACCTATCTAGCTATCTTACATAACTCCAATCACGCGTACCTTAAAACGTAACCATCAATCAATGCAAAAATAAAAACCCATTACATATTACAAAGTATTATTATTTGTTTTAAATAAACACATAAAATATCTGATGAAATGTAAAATGCATGATGAAATTGACCTGGCCAAAGTATGGTCAAACAATTACATGAAAATCTTCTGCACAGAAAAGAACAATCTCTGTCACGACATCCTATCGAAAAGGTAGGCGGATAAAGAACTTGTAGATCATACAAAGTAATACCCTATTTATCAGCAAAAAATACTAGGGTTATTAATTGCAATTATTTTTTTTAATATTTGAAGAATATATATATTAAAAATAACATACTAGTAATATTGTTCACTTAATTAATTGATTTAATTAATTTAAATAATAACAAAGCAAGGTTAGTTATGAGTCTTATGACTGCTAATACATAGAGGGTAGGTCTTGTGGCTCTATGAAAGATAAAAGAGACAAAATTAAAGCTAAGCTAATTAGTGTGGGATTAGAGCTTCGTTATTATTTTTATATTTTTCTTGATTAAATCAATAACATGCACTTTGCCTCATGCTTGTCTAGGGCTGTCTTCTTATATTTATAATTTTATACTTAATTCTTCTCATTTATATTTTTGCTTAACATTTTGCCCTAGAAATGCTCATAATCCAACGGGAAACAGTAATTGGGATTCAAACCTCCTAATTACTAGGGTTTTTCCCCAAGAATTACTCCTACAATTTGATAAATTAATCATACTGTGGTTTGCTAACATCCTATACATATTAATGAAAACGATCAAGTATATAGATGTATAGTATACTGTAAGTCTAGTGGTTGCTCCACCTATTATCAATTCGTTAAATTTTATATATAGAGTTTCACTTAACTGGGTCTGTATATATGTGGTTAGTCTCTACTCCATATATGCATGTCCATTATTTAAGGTTAATCTATATTTTAAGAGATCGATTTTAAATTATTGTGATTGTCGTAAATAATATTGCATAAGGATTTTCAAAGTTTTCATACAATCATCCTAAACATATACAACCCTTTGCCTTTTACAATTACGATTAGTAGTTTTATATTATAAGCTGTTTGAAAAATTATTACTATGTTTGAAAAATTCGGATAAATATCATTTATCCCTTGTTTAATAAGTCTTGAATCTTGATCTTACAATCGGTAGATCAATTATTGTACCAGTATATAATTCTTATTGATCTTAAATCTTAAACACTATTACTATATGTTATTTAAATATGTAAATCTAATTGTTGAATATCCCGGGGCCTAAGTTGATCTCCCTTGGCATATGAGCTCTCAAATGCAATTTGCATTCATACATTGATCTATGCAATTTAACCACATAAAAAACTTAATTATTGAAGTTTTAATTGGGTATTATAAATTATAATTAAGCTTAGACGTACATTCAATTGCGTGTGATTTAAGATGAAGAAAGTCACGTGTGCTAGATCCGTTCCATAATGCAGCTTGCCACTAATTAAATCTACAAGTTTTGTCATTCATATAATCCAAATTGGAATGAAGTGTTTGAGAGATTAAATTCAGATTTATAATGTACGGAGTATGTTAATTTCGTGAGATATATAATTATTGAACATATATGAGAAAGTAATTCTTCTTGGAAATTGTAAATCTGATTTGGTCTAGGTTGTGTAATTTTGTTAATTTGTATCCAATTTTTGCATCCCTTGAATGTTGACTAGATTAATTGATATCCTATTACATACAATTATACAAGGGTGAGTATGGTAAAGAAATGTACATTAGAATTACAGGCCATGAGCTAAAACCACGGCCTTAATTTATAATTCATGTGAGTTATTAATGATCATTGCATTTATGTTATCACGAAAATAGAACTAATAATTGTACGTCGTCGTTGGCTATGTTTTTAGTTCGGAATTTAAGTTATAGTAAAAGGAAATTTGAAAATGAAACTTTATTTAATGCTAATAGTTTGATTCTGAAATCTCATCAACCCCAACCTCACGCGTTAGGGAGAGAGAAGTGAATTGCTCTATTCATTTTTTGATTTCTTTACCCTAACTTCTAACTTTACGAAGATGGATCATCCTATATCTTACTCTTTTTTAACTATTAAAAACCGAATCAAAAATGAAATCAATGCCCTAGCAAAGTTACTCACTCACTAATCACCCGTACTATATGTCACGTCCATGATGAGTGATAAGTAATGGTCAAAACTCGAGTTAATTAAGGAAGTCAAGAAACTGTTAATCCAGGTTTTCAGCTTTTGCTTGTTTACTTGATAAAAGACAAACCAAATATCAAACATGGATGTTCAATCATAAACAGACACCCATATTTACTTCTCTTTCAAACTTCGAGCTGTGCATAATATGTATTGCATTAATTTGATAATCCTCATGATTAATTTGCTAAATGACAAGATTATTGATTAATCAACGACTTGAAATTGTAGGATTGTTGTTCTACCTTGTACGATAACCTAGTACTTGCATTATCTAGCGTTTTCATCTCGAGTCTCGGCACCAAAAGTTTTGCGTTGGGATTACTTACACCAAGAAGCTTTACAAATAATGGATTATAAATTTATAATAATTATTGTACTTGTTTCATTCAAAAATAATACTTCGTAATTGCATTGAATTCGGAGTACTATTTACAAATTTACGATGAAATTATCACTCTTAGACCAAGTCCAGTCACATAGGTGCATTATTTCTCATCATCTATATGTAAAGATTTTCCTTTCACGTAAAAAAACATTTGTGTAAGACTGTATTACCGTCATAAAATCACTTTTGTAGTCACTACAAATATATAATATTTTTCATTTATTTTTTTTCCGACTTAATCCACAATTGGTCTTAGGATGGTAAGGGCATTAATTAAAATTTTGGAGAATAATAAGGTTTTGGCAACCAACCAAATCTTCTCTCGTATAAGAAAAGAGATAAACAGCTGTTATCTAGTTGGTAACACCGTAACAGCGTAACAGTACAGTCTAATGAGAAATGGGCTGCAACAACCCAACAATTGTAGTTGGTAAATTGTGGACTTGTAGCCCATTAGTATAATTTTTTTCCTTTCATTAATCCAATTATTCCCTTTAATTTAATTTGTCACCAAAACATATGATAATTTTTAAATCACAGAAAATACGTACTTCGTTTATGATTTAAGAGCAAGACTTAGATGAGACTGACTCAGCTTGTTGTTAAATACGTATTTAATCATTACTCCTTAAATGTAACAAGTCATCATATTAACACAATAAGTATTATTAAGACCGTCTTATACAAGATTTTTCCGAGGATCAATGTAATTCACTTCCTATTTGAATTAAATTAGCCACCTAAAACGGTTGAGAGAACATGTATACTTCGTAATTTCGTATATGACTATGCCTCCTAGTAAATGTTACGCAGTTACAAGAGTTTACATTTTTTATTTTTTTTTAATACAGATCATAAGACAGCAGCATCCATGACTTTGGCTGTTCTCGAAGATTTCGTATGCTTGGGGCTACTTACACCCAACCATGTCTGAATGAGCTCAAACACTGTATCATTCTGCAAAAGCCCTCGATGGTTTTCAGCAACTCCAACTCTTTCTACAGCATCAAATCCATCAGCCTGTTCATTGAATTGTGACGTTGGTAAGCTACATATTATACCACAAAACCATCCACAATATTATACTTGCTTTGTAAGCATGTAAACTTGCAAAGCATAATACTGATCCTATCAAGCTGTCGAGGCCAGAGCAACATTGTATATAATACAGGCATAAGTAAAATCATTCAGTTGTTAGTGTTAACCCAAATCCTACATGGGTTTCGGCATATATAGAAGATGGTTTTGGAAATCAGTTTGAACTCGCTTAGTGACATTCCAAAACCTGCCACTTTCTTCTATCCATCAAATTTATAAAACTTCATAAATTTAGGACTTGACATTATAGATCACTATAATTGCAATATTTGTCCCTACAAAAATCAATGCTAAATCCGGTCTTTTACTTGAAAACATTGTGATGATTCTGATAAATGATGTTCTTATTTTTTTTTTCCCCAACTCCAAAATGCAATGGTACTAAATCAGAATTCAGAAGGGGTATCCAAGATAACTGATGATAAGCCGGAAGTAAATACAATATAGAAACTCCAAAGAATTGCTTAGGATGAAGGATTGAAAGAAGAAAAATTGTACCTGTGCTGATTCAGCTGGAACAGTTTCATCGCCATCCACAAATGAATATTCAGGCTGAAGAAAGACCAAAAAACACGATAATCATTAAAAGATTTAAAACAACATATACAAATTATGCAACTTGGATTCTTCAAACCAAACCAAATGACCCATAATCCCTTGTATAGTTTCACACACACAGAGAGCATGGAACTTAGAATTTTTAAACACATTACATAACAATAGTTGAGCCTGGAAGGAAAGGGAAGGTGTAAGGAGAGAAAAGGGGAATGGATTAATGGAGGGAAGAAATCAGTAATCATTATCCCTATGAGATTGAGCAACAATAACATTGACATACACGTAAGACAACGGAAGCATGTTATGGAAACATAAGCCTACTCACCGATGAATGACATATTTCCGACAAGTCGTCGACAGGAGAAGTTTCTGAACCATAGCTGCATGTAAATGAAGGATTAATTTCAGAAGAGAAGGAAAATTAATATATGTGAGATACATTGCATGCAGCCTAAAATCAAGCAGCCAAGAATTTCAAGTTTTAAATGGTTAGAAGAAATTATGAAGTTACCCCCCCCCCCCCCCCCTCTTTTTTGAACTCATTTCATGAGTTGAGCTACGATCAAACCTGTTGTAATGAGTACTATGATACCAAAAATTGCCAGGAGTGCCAGCCAAGGTATTGACATATTGGCTATTGCTGTCGCTGATCTGCTCTTAGTAATGATGGCGTTTCTTAAATGAGATAACTCTAGCATGACTTATGGAGGAATGCAGGCAATTAGACATAATAGTTCAAACACTTCATCAATCTCAAGGTTTTTAGCTTAGGGCAGATCAATTCATGACAAATTCTTCTGTTTTTTCTTCTTTTTTCGAATATTTTTTCAAATATTTTCCACCAACCACATGACCAACATCAGATCATCCTACCATGTTACAATCTCAGTTATAACAAATTTTAAAAGTATCCAAGTTTTTCTGGATTAACTCGTCACTTACCAAACATCAAAAGGGGTCTCAAATGAAGTTCCATAAATGTTATAAAAGCTAACTCCTCCTGGCAATTTTGCTTTGTTGAGGAGTTCACGAGTGCCAGCAGCCCATTTGAGAATAGCATGGTTGAAGGGAAGAGAAACCATTTTCCCGTTGTAGTTAAGCTGCATAGCAGATTACTGAATTAGGTATAAACTTCTCCATCTAATATGATCAAATTTGGAGACAACAGTATGTCAAACCTACTAATGATAATGCACGACTACTTCAAGTATATAAAGAGTGAAGGTGAAGCAAACAATAGCGAATTTTGGGTCATAACTAAACTGCACCTGGGAGTAGAATGAGAAGAAAATGAACCCCCCCCCCCCTAAGCCTATAGTCAAGTTATGCCCCACTTACATAAAACAGCATTACTAATACTCCAGTAAATCAGTGATGTACCCAAGCTACAATTACTATATATGCAGCAACAACAATTCGGTTTCAGATTTTCAGCAAGACCTCTATGTAGCTCCAACTTGGGCCTGCATAAGTTCAGAGTCAGTACACACCTCATTATCCCTCAAAGCTTCCTCAAAGAGATTGATGCTTTCCAGTGGGTCATATGATATAAGCTTTGCAGTTGAGGAGTCATCTTTATCCGAAGAAACTTTACGCCAAACACAAATTTTAGGAACCTCTTTCCAGTTGAATATTGGATTTGGCAACATCTCATAGACTGACGGGCACTCAACTACCTAAAGGCAGATTAAATTTATCATTCAAGTTTAGATAATCAGAATTGTCTGGACAACTTTGAATTATAAGGTTACCACTTACCAGTTGGTGCATGGTCCATCTTTTCACGAAAAAATAACTCTCAAAACCTTCAATGAATTGCACCCCAGTTAAGAGTGCATCATTGATATATCCTGGTGCACCTGTTAAAAATGCACCAATATAATTATGGTTACTAGCCTTACCACTTACCAGGTCACTTACAAATTCTAGTAAGAAGAAACATGAGAGCGTGTTTAAAAGGAAGCTAATGATCCTACCTTGGAAAGGGCAAGCTATGCAAATCCACTTGTTTACATACTTGGAGAATGTCTGCAAGATAGAAAAAGTATTATCTTTTGAAAACATACCACAGATATATGATATTTAGAAAAAAGAAAATCAAATGGGAAAATGGGTGATAGTTCAACTTGTCACCAAGAGAGTATGTGCGCACATCAGGATATAGAACCATAAAACACTTGACCAATACTCCACCCATAGAATGTGAGATTAAGTTGATTTGTCTTCCTCCAGAAGCTTTATATGCAGTCTCCAGCTTTGCTTTAAGACCATCCATCAATTTGTCAATCCTGCAGGAAATATGTTGCTGAAAATCTTCAAAATAACCACGCAAAAACTGGTAGGAACTCAAGTAGAATACACTCAACTAATGGTAATTGTAGTCCATCAATTGAAACCTGAACTTACCTATTGCTTTGTCGGAAATCATAACCATAGCCAAACAATGTGGTGCCCTTCTTATATCCGCAATCAACAAGCATATTAATCATCTCATGGAAATGGTACACATCTGTCAGGTTGATACATTTCACAAACTGAAGCAGTAAAGAAGACAACTTCGTCAGATAATTGAAGAGTTAGACCATGCTAATTCATTAAGCAGTCGTGACTCATGAGCATAGAACCCACCCATCCCTCCACCCCAAAATAAAAATCACCCACCCCCAAGGTTGGACCAAAAACCTTGTGGCGGAGGTATTTCTCTTTCTATCATTTCTTTATAATAGTCGAAAGGGAAAGGTGCTTAAAATGAAAAGCGAGCCTAGAGTAGCAGCCTATTAAGTTTTGTTTTACAGCAACTAATTGTTTAGCCAATTATGCAAAGGGCACAGGTTCATTGCAACTAGCAACAGATCATCTTGTATCATTGGCGCAGCTTATTCATATACTAAGAACATGTTTGGCATGAAAATTTCTAGAGATGAATACGGAATCACTAAAACACTTTCATTATAGATTGTTCAGTTTGAAGGGTAATGTAACACTTTCCCTTACATAGGGTGATTATTCCACAAACCTCATCCCCAAACTAGTAGTAACACATCGCATATTTACATTGGTTTTAATCTCCCTCTCTCATTTGATTCACTAATCCATTACAGTAAAGTAATGATTATCATTACTCTTTCCTTCTCTCATCCGATTTCATTCCAATCCGATTCCTCCAACCATACCCAATAGGGCCAACACACCCTAAACACAGTACAGACAGAACAAATCAAGATAAGGCCATCTCTATGGTTTCATTAGATATAAACTACCATAGTTCACATTTTTACTTCACATTTCATAAATCATGGATCTAATTGGTAAATCAACCAAAAAGGCATCAATTACCACAATTTTTAAGAAAATTAATTTAAATTATAGTAATTGGATCCATATCAAATTTAACAACATACTAGAGTTGACAATCACAATTAGCAAACAGATAAATATCATTAAAAAATTGGTCAAAAGTCATGGAAAATAAAATCAATAAATGAGCTAAAAGTGTCAATAAAAGCCAAAAAAATTTAAAAACTTTTAAGAAGCTTACCAGTGAAGGATCCAATATGTCAATTGCATATAATCCATAATCATCATCAGGCACTACAATCTCAGAATTTTTGTCCAATTCCTCAGTATACCCTGATCAAACATTGTCAAATTAAACAAAAGTACATCATAAAGAATTAAATCTTTTTAACAACACTAGCCTCCAAAAATGATTCCCACAAAATACAAGAAGAAAAAGATAAACATCAACTTATTTACAACCCCCAATATTTTTCAAAACACGAAAAACTCGCGTACAACGGGTGTATTGTATACCATATAATCTGTCACCCCAAATCACATAAAAGTCGATTATTATAATATTAATCCAAGAAATCAATCAAGAGATAGAAAAGGAGAAAAACCAGTATTGGGATTATAGATAGACCAAAGTTTGCGCTTAAACTCCAAATCAGCCAAGAAAATCCGAACCCAAACCCGAGTTTGGAAATTGAAAAAACTGTTCTTGGACTTTGAGTTTAATATGGACCCACCCATGCCGGAAACCAGCACAACCGGGTCTCTATCTGCCGAGTCATCCGAGTCAGTGACTCGGCTACCAAAGAAACATGGGCAAACATGGCTCGGCATTTTTGATGAATATGGTAGGAAGACTGAAGAAGGTTACGGTAGTATAGTCTAGTCTACTAGTCTAGTAATGGTGGTTTGTTATTGGTTATTTTTGCCATTTTTTCTCATCCTTTGCTATGTGTATTAATAAAGCGGTAAACGAATTCAATGTACAGTTTTTTTTTTGTTGTTTATTTTTGGTACCCTTACATTTGTCATATTTGTAAAATCAACCCCCTTCTCACAAATACTTCATATAGTGGTGGTGGCAATCCGGTAGTTAAAATACTACCTTCATTTTATATTATTTACAATGATTTGACACTTTTTACTCATATTTTATGTCAAATCGTTGCAAATAATATGAAAGGTAGTAACTTTTGAATGTGAGGTTATGAGAATTAAGTTGAGACATGTTTGTAGAAGTCAAATATGTTTAGTTGGTTAAAGTGTTTGAGGTGGTGCTTTGGGATTGAATATTGTCTACATTATTGTTATTGAAACTTTCTCCATAGAAAAAAAAATGTCATACTCGTATTTGAGGAACTTTAAAAACATTCAAGTTTTTTTTTTATACACCCTTTATTTTTGTATGATGGTAATATTTGAAATTTCTTTTTTTTTTTTGTTTTTTTGACAGAAATATTTGAAATTTCTTGGTTAAAAAGTTAAATGTTTGAATAATAATTTTAATATTAATGTTAATAATTAGCCCCTAAGAAGGATTTTTTTTTTTTTTTTGGAAAGGTGATGATATTACTATATTAGCCCTTAAGAAGATAGGTGATGAAATAGAGAAGGTTATTAATGTTAGGTGTTTGGTTCTTAATCATGCAAGGAACTAAAGAAGCATAACTTGAAGTAGATGAGCCATAAGCCCATAAGGGTGAACTATTGCATTATGTTTTTATGTGCCACGTGCTCCGCGTGTCAACTTTCCTTTCTCCCTGTTTATCTACCTTTCTTCATCAATTTCACATTTTTTTTCATCAAAATATTTACTACCCTAGCAAATTTTTGGTAGGTAAGAGTGTAAGAGAAATGTCTTATATGATCCATTACATATTTTCCTGTCACCATAACTTAGGACACGGTGGATAAGTATAACGAGTATTTAGAAACAGAATGGTATCTTTCATAACGAGAAATTATGATTTATGAAAGCACGATAACTAATTGTGGATATAGGTTAGACGAAAATGCTAGCAGAACCGACAAAAGAAGCTCTAAGTTTTCCAAAGATTGTAGTTGAAGTATCTTAAAGTTCAAAAAATTAGATGGATGGTTAGAAAAGTTTTTAGTATTTTGTTTTGTGTTTGAAGGAATGTTTAGAAAAGATTAGAAGTAAATAATCTAATGGTCAAAGAAAATTGATAATGATTGGTGTCACTATTAACTTATCCAGTCATTTACATAACAAAGTTCTGGAAATTTTGCCCATTGATAAAATAATGCGGAGTACGAGTAATAATAAATAGAAAAACTCAGAAAATCCAGGTATACATTATGTGTGACAGGCATCTTAGATTAGAATATCCGAGAAATTTTCATAGAAAGACAATTTCTTTAACCAAATTTGTCCAAGCCACGTAAAGATGAAGCACATCCTTGCACGTAACTACGTAAGAGCATGATAGGAGCCTGGAAAACAATCATAAAATTACAACAAAGCTTGTATACTTGGGCTCGAGTTCGGTTGTTGTATGACTTGTATCGATGGCTTTGGCTATCCTTAAGTGGCTAAACTACAAGTCTTTGACAACACAAATGAAACTACAAGTGCCAACAATGGGATCTCTACTATGGGATCTCACGAATTTAACGCCGCAAATGAAGCCACAAATACAAATTCTACAAGGTCGAACTCCGTTATCTATAAATCATCACAGTAGGTATGGAAAACTTTATAAAGAAAAGTGCTAGATTAATGGCAAAACACAACAAGAAACTTAACAGCATCCTACAAGAAATCCATTGTATTTTTGCAAAATCGCAACAATCCATGTAACAAAAAGCACCTACTAATACTCTTTTCTCTGGAATACAGTAATCCATTAACATAAAATTCTAAACTCGCGATGCAAAAAATAAAAACTTTCTTAGTCTCAACTGCAGGTATCACACTCCATGTCATGTAATCTACAGATCTTGCACGCTCAAACCTGCCAAGGGAAGGAAATTTTAGTCTACAAAGCAATAGATAATCAAAGAATTCAGACTTGTTCTAATCATTTAACAGACAAGCCAATGATGCATGTATGTGAAAAAATACCTGGGGGAAGGGATTGCTTCAACTTGTCGGCCTTCTCAGAGTCAAACACACAAAGTGTGTAGAGGTACTTGGAGCAGCGAACCTTGAACTTCACAACATCCTTGCTTCTCTTGATCTTGACAGATCGTGCATCCTTCCTTCTGGCAGTGAGAAGGAAGTCCTTGATCTCATGGATCTGCTTCGGCTGTCAAATCAAGATCAAACATAAACATCTGTTACAGACTTACAGTTGTAAAAACCCTCAAACTGAATTGAAATGAAAACATGCTTATCACAGTTAGAAAACCAAGGCAGACTTGGAAATTACTAACACTTGTAACAACATTTCACAAATGCACAGCCAAAGGACAATCATTATTGCATGGTGAGTTTACACAACAACAAGCAAGCTGAATAAGTTAGATTAATTGTAATGACAGAAACAAGTGATAAATATATCCACGATTGAAGAAATAGAGAGAGTGACTAAAAGTACTCTTCCCTGAAAAGAATCCAAACGTGGAGTCTGATCTTGCGTCAGCTCATACATAACGCCCATTAAGGTGCAGCGCTAGTAATCAGTATTTTGACGCAATAAATGGATTGTGTTACATCCAATTTAACAAACAAATCCCAGCATCCAAATTTGAATCAACAAAACTACGAAAAAAATCAAATCTCTAATCTTTGTAAACCAGTTAAACTTCCCATTAGTCTGAAAAGCTGGCCAAGTGTTACTCCCCAACGGGGGTAAGGCAATGAGTGCTAAATGTATCCCTGGATGAGAAAAGGAAAGAGTATACAGCCTCCTCCCTAACCAATTCAGACGTGGATTTCAATTTTGCATCGGCTCATACATAACGCCCATTTACAAGGTTAAACGCTAGTAATCAGTATTTCGACGCATTGCAATACATCAAACTCAGATACCAAATCAACAGCACCCAAAATTTTACCCTATGCAATATAAAAATAACATATTTCCATAATAACATAAAACACAAACGAATCACAAACAAGTGAAAGAATGACTAGTTGATAAATGTATCCCTGAATGTGAAAAGGAAAGAGTATACAACCTCTCCCTAACAAATTCAAACATGGAGCTCAATTTCGCATCAGCTCATACATAACGCCCATATATAAGGTTAAACGCTAGTAATCAGTATTTCGACGCATTACATTACATCAAACTTAGATATATAATCAATAGCACTATGATTTCAATTTTTAATCAATATACTTTTAAAAAAAATCTCACTTCTAATCCTAACATCGAACAAAATCACATTAAATTAAATTTTGAATCGGTTCAACATTTTTTTCCAAAACCAATCCTAGTAATCCCTCATTGCATCAGTACAAGCTAACCTCCCTTTTCCCACTAAGATTCATTACTATCAAAGCCCAGATAATCTATCTTAATCTTTTAATTTAAGAATAATACTACTCGATCTGACGCAGTAATTTGCACAATTTTTATGATTATGCTAATTAATATCAATGAATGCTTAGAAAATGCTCAACCATATTCACTCAAAAAAAGCCCAGAACAAATTTGCACAGATTATTCACAAAGTATATTTCAATAATAAGTAGCAAAAATCAGCTTAATTGTCGTGAATTTCCCATGAAATACAGCATCAATAACACTATCAAGCTTTAATTTTCAATATATCATTCCACAAATGTATGAATTAAACATGATACCCAAATTTTGCAAATATTAACACCCATTATCAAACAAAAACAATCAGATAAATTTTAATGAAAACAAAAACAATTCGTCATTTGTAACAGATCTAAAAGAACAGCATAATAGAAAAATAGAGAAAATATACCATTATTGCTCAGCTCGAAAAACCCAGGTATCCGCTAGAGCTGATGAAGAATTCTCTATCCTCTGCTTTTCCGGCGGATGAGAAGTATATGTAGGGTTTGTGAGTTGTGACTGTGAAAAACCCTAGTTTTAAGTTTGGTTGTTTCCGATTTTCTCCCTATTATTTGTTCTAATTTCCTGGTTTATTTTAATGGGTTTTATGTTTTGGGTTTTTTGATTTAGACCAAATTGGTCAGTTTCTGTTCCAGTCCAATTGTATAGTTGAGCTAAACGTTTTTGTATTGGGCTATGATTGATTTTCTAACATTCTATTGCAAATGGCAATATGGCATGCACCAAATCCAATATCCAAGGAGTAGTCCAAATATATAGACCCGATAAAACTAACTCGTTTCATTGTTACTCCATACTAAAGCCGAAATATAATCCTACAGAACGATCGGAAACTCTCACATATCCTCTCACCCCGGATTAGCAAGTTAGGCACTTTGGGAGTGGGGTGGGGGGGAAGGGTAAGGGAATCCCACCTCAAAGTACCTCTAGTAGGGTTTGATCCCACAATCTCAAAATTAGGAGATGCAAACCTTACCACTAAACCAAGTTTTGCTTGGTATACTGTTGAGTTATTTAGAGTATTGCATTGCTTGATGAAATAAACTGTTGTATTTGCACTGCTTGATGAAAAGGTTGATTTTGCACCGTTTGGTTAAACGGTTATTCATGATATGCATGCTCCTGTACATATACTATTGTTATATATGATGAAAAACAACAGGTTGGTTATTATATATGGCACCGTTTGGAATAACGGCAAGCAACAGGTTGTATATGGCACCTTTTGGAATAATGGCTATTCACTTTTTTGCATGCTGCATATATATATTCAACGTAAGGGTTGTGGAGTAGATATCAAATTTTTATCTCTTCATTAAAAAAGTCAATTTGCATGAGTTTGTCATTGTTCATTATCACAAAATAAATATACTAGTTTACATTTAATCATAATTATACTACACGTAATTGTGATTGTTCTTCGTTGTATCTCCTAAGTGATTTCGTGATACCCGGGTTGTAGTTTAAGGGTCGAGATATTACTTTTGGGAAAGTAATTCCGTTCACGCCTCGAAGGTTATTTTTGTTTAATTCCGATTTCTTCTTTGTGTCCCTTGTATTTTTAGTATTATTCCCAACAATCCAAAAGTAATATTTCTTGCAAAGATGGCCACCATTAAGGAATTGACATCAAATTTCCAGAAATTGGACAAGCTCGAGGGCGTGGGTTTTCGAAGATGGCAAAAGAAAATGCATTTTCTCTTGACTTCTCTTAGTGTGGCATATGTTCTCACTACCCCAAAGCCATTGGAGGAGGAAAATGAGACATTGGAAAATACTAGAAAGAGGAACAAGTGGGAGAATGATGACTACATATGTCGTGGACACATTCTTAACGGTATGTCTGATGACTTGTTTGATGTTTATCAATTTTATGAATCTGCTAAACTTCTTTGGGATGATTTAGAATCTAAGTATATGGCCGAGGATGCATCTAGCAAAAAGTTTCTTGTTAGTAATTTCAATAATTATAAAATGGTTTATAGTAGGCCGGTTATGGAACAATTTCATGAAATTCAAAGAATTTTAGGGAGTTTTAAACAACATGACATAAGTATGGATGATACTTTTGTTGTATCTTCTATTATTGATAAATTGCCACCTTCTTGGAAAGACTTTAGAAACACTTTAAAGCATAGGAAGGATGAAATAAATGTTGAAGATTTGGGTTCCCATATTCGGATTGAAGAGGGAATCCGAATACAAGATGGACAAAATGATGGAAATCCTAGTTCTATCATTAATATGGTAAAGGACTCTAAGTCAAATGACAAGAAAAGAGGAAATGACTCAAACAATAACAAAGGCAAGAAGCCTAAGGTTGATAGTGATGGTAAAAAATCACGTACTTGTTGGGTTTGTGGAAAATCCGGTCATTTTAAAAAGAATTGTACCATTTGGAAGAAAAAGATGAGCAAGAAAAGGGCTCAAAGTGGGAAAGGCGAGTCAAGCCAATCCCAAGACAAGCAAGGTAACTCTTGTACACAAATTTCACTTAGTTCATTTATGGATTATGTGTGTGTGATTTCTGAAATCCTATGTGTACAGGATAATTGTTCGTGGTACATCGATTCAGGAGCATCGAGGCATGTATGCAAGGATCGTTCACTGTTCAAAACCTTTTTGGAGGTTGATGATGGAGAAATCCTATACATGGGAAATGATTCCACAATAAGGGTGCCAGGCAAAGGACAAGTAGAACTAATTTTTAGTTCGGGTTAATCTCTTATTTTAAGAGATGTGTTGTATGCTCCCGAGCTTAGGAGAAATCTTGTATCTGGTGCTATCTTGAATCGATTAGGATTTAAAATGGTGTTTGAGTCGGATAAATTTATTTTGTCTAAAGGTGGTATATTTATAAGACTTGGTTATTTGTATGATGGAATGTTTAAATTAAGCACTTGTAATAATGTTAGGGATAATGTGTATGTTGTAAGTAATAACTCTTCTCTATGGAATTTTAGACTTGGACATGTTAATTACAAGAAGCTTTACTTTATGTCTAAGCATGAATTAATTCCATCATTTGATCCAAGGATAGAGAAGTGTAGAACATGCATGCTAACAAAAATTACAAGGAAACCATTTCCTAACAATGTAGAAAAGGATACTTCATTACATGATTTAGTGCTTAGTGATTTATGTGACTTTCACAACACTCCTTCCTTAGGCAATAAGAATTATTTAGTAACTTTCATTGATGATTTTTCAAGATTTTTCTATGTATACTTATTGTTTTCTAAGGATGAAGCCCTTGACAAATTTAAAATCTACAAAAAGAAAGTAGAGTTGCAAACAAATGAAAAGATTAAAAAGTTAAGAACCGATAAAGGAGGTGAATACTATTATAGGATTAGTACATGAAACAACCGCGGCATATACACCGCAACAAAATGGTGTAGCGGAAAGGAAGAATAGGACTTACAAGAAATGGTTAATTCCATGTTATCCTATTCAGGTTTGAGTGATGTATTTTGGGGAGAAGCGGTTTTAACAGCTTGTTACATTTTAAACTGAGTTCCTATTAAAGGAACGAGGTTACCCCATATGAGCTATGGTACAAAAGGAAACCAAACTTGAGTCATCTCAAAGTTTGGGGTTGTAGGGCAATTGTAAAAGTGTCGGAACCTAAACGTAAAAAGTTAGGTTAAAGGGGAGTTGAATGCATTTTTATAGGATATGCGGAACATAGAAAATCCTATAGGTTTTATGTGATTAAGCAAAATGACTTTTGGTCGGTTCATACCACCATAGAGTCAAGGGATGCATTGTTTGATGAAAATAGATATTCATCAATTCCTAGACCTAAGGATATTACTCCAAATACCAATGCTCAAGGTGATGATCAAATTATATTTGATCAAGAGGAAGATGACCAAGCTCATTTAGAGGAGGCATCTTCATCATCATCTCCACTTAGGAGAAGTGAGAGGGCTAGGAAAGAGAAATCTTTTGGCCCAGATTTTCATGTGTACTTGATTGAGGGATCAAGGAACAATGTTTTGACTCAATTTCCTTATATTTTTAATGTGGAACATGATCCTTCAACATTTGATGAGGCTATGAAGTCTCATGATGCTCTATTTTGGAAGGAAGCAATTGATGATGAGATGGATTCCATCATGGGAAACAATACTCGGGTATTAGCTGATTTACCTCCTAAATGTAAACCAATAGGGTGCAAATGAATCTTAAAAAAGAAATTAAGGATTGATGGAACTGTTGAAAATTTCAAAGCCCGGTTAGTGGCACAAGGTTTTACACAAAAGCCTGGTATTGATTATTTCAATACATATGCACCTGTTGCTAGAATCTCAACTATAAGGTTGTTGATAGCTCTTTCGGCTATCCATAATCTTGTGATCCATCAAATGGATGTCAAGACAGCGTTCTTGAATGGAGATCTAGAAGAAGAGGTTTACATGCAACAAGCGGAAGAGTTTGTTGTGGAAGGCCAAGAGCGAAAAGTTTGCAAGTTGATTAAATCCTTGTATGGGCCTAAGCAAGCACCTAAGCAATGGAATCAAAAGTTTGATGAGGTTGTGTTGTCTAATGGATTCAAGTTGAATAATTCAGACAAGTATATATATAGTAAATTTAATGACAACGGTGAAGGTGTCATAATTTGTTTATATGTAGATGACATGTTGATCTTTGGAACAAGTATGTCACAAGTTGAAATGACAAAGGAATTCCTTAGTTCAAAGTTTTCCATGAAAGACATGGGAGAGGCGGATGTCATCTTGGGCATAAGAATAAAGAAGGAAAAAGGGAAGTTGATCTTGTCACAATCTCATTATATTGAGAAAGTGATCAAGAAGTTCAATGTAAGTGAAAATTCTATTTCTCTTTATTCAACACCTATGGATCCTAGCGTAACATTATTACCTAATGAAGGTAATGCAGTTTCACAACTGGAGTACGCAAGAGTAATAGATTGTTTGATGTATGCCATGACAAGTACTAGACCGGATATTGCTTATGCAGTTGGTCAACTAAGTAGATATACTAGTAATCCTAGTATGCTACATTGGCAAGCAGTTCGACGTTTGTTGAAATAATTGAAGAAAACCATGGATTATGGTTTGTCTTATAGTGGATATCCCTCGATTATAGAAGGATATTCGGATGCAAGTTGGATCTCTAATAAAGATCATTCCTCCACAAGTGGTTGGGTTTTCCTATATGGGGGAGGTGCTATCTCATGGGCTTCAAAGAAGAAAACTTGCATTGCGGATTCCACAATGACATCGGAGTTCATTGCTTTGCATTCAACTAGTAAAGAAGCTGAATGGTTGAAGGATCTCATGTTTGAGATACCTTTGTTGGCAAAACCAATATCATCTATAGTGATACATTGTGATAATAATGCAACCTTGGCTAAGGGATATAGTCAAGTATATAATGGTAAGTCAAGGCACATTGGTGTAAGGCATAGTTACATTCAAGGACTTATCAAGGATAGTATAATTACTATTGACTATGTTCGTACGAAGTTTAATCTCGCTGATTGCTTCACAAAAGCATTGGCAAGAGATGTTAAT